TGTCCTGTTAGTCAATGTGGAATGGCCTCATCATGACAAAATGAAAGAAAAAGAAAGTAAAAACATGGATCCCCAACACCAAAACAACCACTTTTGTTCATTCCTTTGATTACTCCCGCACGGGAAACGATGGAACCTCTGCCCCGGTAAACTACTCCTGTCGTTCCTTGTCAAGGTTCGCGGGGAAGAATCCGTTGCCAGATTGCATGCTTAGTGCCTGGTCTGGGACTTTCCTAGCTTTGCTTTCCTCATTGACAACATCGACGAGCGGTGTACGATGTAGATGGATCCTGTGAATTTCAAGACCGTTTCTATGCACTAACACTGCACCTAGCCGCCTATGATCCTGCTCCGTATGCAATACTAAGAGGACAACTTGAAGAAGTAAGCACGACAAACGAAACAAAAAGATCCTTGGCGGAACTGGGAAGAGCAGGCAAACCCGTCGAAAGATCATCGACCGTAACCATTCTTACAAGCTTCCTTCCTCAAGTAGAGCCGCACGTGGCAGTTGATTTGCACGGCCCCTGTTCCGAGCACCGACGAAGAGGTGGAGTTCAGGAGCGGTGCAGAATCTTTTGTTCATGGGACACAAACATCCAGCTGTGAGAGGTCGGCGCCTCAGTCAGTCTACCATTCGTCTACGAGTCCTGCATGCAAAGGACATGCACGTTCTGCTGTCTAACGACTGGCATTGTCGTTTTTTTTTCTTGATTTTGTCATAAACCCTTGTGCCTCTCCTTAACATGTAACGAATGCAGCCTCTTGCCGGCTTCAGTGGTTGCATGCCGATCGGCAAGGAGGCGGTGAAGAAGTACAACGCATACAGTGGTGTGAAACACGACATCGTGAGGGAAGAATTAAGAAATAAAACGATGCAAACATATTATATGTTGCCATGCTGTACGTACATGGTCGCCTTTTTTAGATTAAAATATTGGGAAAGGTCATAATTTCGTCGGATTAATTTTGATATTGCCACATCTATTTATTCGTTTATTCATCTCTTTCGTTTATATTTTTAAAATATATGTTAAGTTTTATCTTAAAGCAAATTGCCTTACTAACGCAAGGAAAACACCAGAAATTAGTCAGCTAGAGTGAACGGTCGCCTGCAAAGTAATCGGATTTGTTTTCTCTAGGATCTGTACGCACATCTGCATTACACGAACAGTCTCCAATCTCACTGCAAGTTTATCCTCTATCACAACCGTCCATATGACCAAGAAAGAGACAGCGATAAGTGAGGCGTTGCGTGACGCAGTGCGGTGCCCTGCTATATCTGTCGGGAAATTTGATTCAAATTGGCGATCAACATGAGCTATGGAACCATTTCTCCTGAACGGTAAAAGTTTTTCTTCTATCAGCACGGGTGCTGGATACCTACACTGCTTTTACCCACGATATCATCACACTTGCAGTCTTATCGCGAGCCGAGAGACAAAGACGATATAATTTGGTTCCTCAGGATTCTTGATAAGGTATGCCGGAATCGTCCGTTTTGGCGTCTAGACCGGAGAGCATATCGAGATACCAAGATTATTGCCTGGCGTTGCAGTGGCAGGCCAGGCCCAAGATAAGAAGAAGGTTACAGACAACACAGTTACGCCAGCTTATCTAGATCCATAGTCGATCGCAAACCGAGTTCGCACAAGCCACAGCCTCCTATCTCTGTGCGTACCAATTCGCTATTTACTGTTTCCCACCACATCCCCGAGGCACCCTGTGCACTTACAAACATAACACTAGCAGCCTCGGCTCTCCGTCAATTGCATATCCGTTTTGACATTCTGTGACCTGGTGCTAATCAAGTATTGATTGATACAAGGGAACGCGTGGTCGGCCTGGCCACAGTCAAACGTCTAGCGCTGTCATCCGGAGTTTGTGTGACAGGAACGGCCGCGTGGTTGATCGCCCCGAGCCTCAGCTAGCCTCCCGCTTCGCATCCATCGGGAGCTATCACCGCCACCCGTGTCAGTCTCTCTTGCCTAAGAAAACACTGTCTGCTCAAGCAAGATATCGGCATTGTAAGTACATTGTACCTACCTTGGCTCTACGGTGCATTTATTTCAACATTTTGTGCTGGTTGCGAAGATCACATGAGCGTCTTCAAATCGCAATGGCCGTAAAGGATTCTCCAATGTCGTTGAACACGTCAAATCTTGCAAGGAACAAGTCCTATGGGAACTCAGCAATCGTGAAAGGAAGGACGACGAAGGCGGGGAACACATAAGATTGCCCGTTTTACCGTTGTGTATAGTTTTTCAGTGTTCCAGACTTTAGTATGTGAGGATTTTTTGGACCTTTTACCAGGATGCAGGTGATGGTGAAACAGACGGCGCAAAACCGACAAATGGGCTGTCCCTTCTAGAGGGTACCGGGGATCCTGAACACATTTGCCAAGCGCAGACAGAGGGCCGCTTTTCCCTCTGGAGCCCCCCAAAGTCACAAAAATCGCGAAACGGAAAGCCGATGGTGGTGGGTGTCTGATCTTGGTTACATTTGCTCGACCGGGTTGGCTGCAACCTCAGCACTCAGCAGCGCCGCACGACGACGTACAAGGGTTGCACCGGGACCAAAAAAAATGCAATATATCGATGACGCTATGCAATCCACGAACAAGGAACGCGTCCTGGCCTGGCTGTGTGCAGGACGTGTGCTGATGTGCGTCGCAACACAGACAGAATCCTTTCACGGCGCAGTACTTTTGAGTATGGAGAACAAAATTACCACGTATTTTCGGTTGATACGAGTCCAGCTGGATGTGAAGTCGTCTTTGAGCGGTAATTACCTGGGTTGGCACCTTCTCGTTTTGATTGGGTTCACGACGTCTCCTTCCTCGTCACGCAAAACAAGGCAAAGTAGGAAGGCCCCAACCTGCAGCACGGTCTAATTGGCTTCCTTGAATCTCGCTCCGTCGTTCCCTGGTTTCTACTTTCAGCCGGGACGAACACTCCGCCACTCTGCCCTGGTACGAAATACTGCCAATATCCATTGGGGGCTTTCTAGTTGGAGCACACTGGCCTTCATCTTAAACGCGACTGGTATAATCGGTTTCTGAGTACATTCGTTCTCTGCCAATACATCATAGATGGAAAGAACACCCATGCTTTGAAGTGCCGGGCATCGCTCCTGCCTCCTGGTAGGTTAAGTGGTAAATGGAAAGAGCAGGTCTAGGAACAGGTCACATAAAGTATCAAATGTGGACAGGGAAGGTGCGAAGATAACAGTTGGGAGTAAAAAAACACAGAGAAGGTGCTGACGACGGGAGCAACGCGCACCTCTTTCCTCATCGAGCGCATGTAAAACGTTCATCTCCTTCCTTATCTTTCGTGCTGGTCGTCTTTGTCTCTCCTTTTTGTCGTTTGTGCCCTTGACTTCAATTTGCTTCATGTACGGAATACTACATAGATGCATTTACTCGTGGACGACACCCGGTTGCACTCCCCCACCGGTTCGGGATCTTTTGGCAGGAATTTCTGTGCCTAAAGCCGTCGTTTTAGAATTTAGACTTGCCGCCACCGCTTACAGATCGTCTTTGGAGCTTTCATCGACCTGAGACAGCCGACCACAAAAGCGAAAGAAAAGCAAGGCACCGGAAGTCTTGCTTGGACCTGGAACCGCTTTGCCTTTGTCGTGTCCAGCCCGTGTTTGACACCTGGGTTTCTTCGACCTTTCCGCCTTGAAACACTTTTTACCGCCTTCATAATATGCCTTTCCCATCGGACACCAACAAAGGGCCGGTTTTCGCTTCTCAAATTGTGCCCGTGGCACATTGCCACATTGCAGACAGGAACAGCAGCGAACAACGATAGGTTGTCGTGCGACTTACATGGTTGCCTCTGCTTTTCTCGAAAACACGACCTGGCCATACCAGGCATGGCCTTTTACCCTCTTCTCGTCACATCCGTCGCATGTCTTCCCGACATTAATGGTACGCCAATCTGCTATATCCCGTCCGCGAATTTTTATTCTTCCCGTTCCCCTTGCCTCTCGTGCCCTGCACCCTGCCTAAGGTTCACGTCCGGGATATTGTACCTTGCTTCCCTCACCTTGCCTGCTTTTTTGCCGTCTTGTCTCCGTCGGGTGGACTCTCCAACACAGCCAAAAAGATTAAGAAACAAACAGAAAAAACGAGGCGACAGGGATGAGGCCATGAGGAAACCACGGAACGTGGAGCACAGAGCTGCAGACAGATTGGAATGTGTCATGGGCCTACCTTGTTTGGCACACTGATCCCCGTTTTCTCTCTTCTGGACTCGTTCTCGTTCTTAGTTTGGGTCCTTTTGCTTTTGTGGTTTCTACGATTTTTATACATTTGAAGATTTTGAAGAACCCAGAAACTGTTTCCATGCCGATTTAGCTCAAGTGGCTCCTTGTTCGTTGCTGGACCACCGCTTCTCGTCATCGGTTCCATTTTGCATCTATTTTTTTCTCTTTAATTCCAGTGTCATGGTCTCGCTCATTTCTTATGCGTCTCTCGCATTCTCGCAATCCCCCCATTGTCTCTAATTGTTATGGCCGTTGTTTATCTGTGCTCTGTATCTCGTTTCGTTTTCGTTCCTCGGCCGCGGTTTCCAGACCTTTTCTGCGCTCCTTGTCTTCTGTTTTGATTTGCATTCCTTGTCGAGCTGGCGGTGTTGTCAAACGTTGTACATCCCTCCATTCTCTTTTGTCTTTTGCGCCTGGCTGGCCTTTGAGCTATGCTCCTCTCAATCCCCCTCCCGTCTGATCTTGCACGTCTTGTACCTTTTGCATCTCCATCTGTTTTTGCGCCTCATATGAACAAGATCGCTCTTCCACCGCGATTTGCACAACCCTCTTTGGAACCCTTCACACCCATTTCACTCATCATCCCTCCCTGCAGCGATTCTGAGAGCTTGTCTTGACCGTTCAGATGTTCTCTAGCTCATATTAAGTCGATTCAACAGCCCGTGACGACTTTTAGGGACGGCATCGCAACAGATCCGATCTTATCGCCAGAACAAAAGGTGACCACCATGGCGACGGAAAGTAACGGACAGCGGCCTCCACACCAACTGCAACAACCAACTGTAGCACAAGCCATCGACATCATCGCCACGACAATCACAACCAGAGACGACGCGCATAACAACGACGACGACGCTGCCCAAGGGGACAGTGAAAACCACTGCCACATTACCGGCAAGATCTCCGAGATCGATACGACGACGACGACAACAACAACAACAACAACAACAACATCAGCGGCAACAACGCCGGCGCACGTACTACCGGTCGACGACCTGTCCGCATCACCACTGTCTCGCCTAGCATCTCCGTCTGATTCGGACTTCTCCTTCTCACAACCGTCGGCCGGCTTTCAGTCGCTGCTAGGCGCGGCTACGTCGAACCCTCTCACGCCACTGTCGTCACTGGACGGCGGCGAGTCGTGGTGTCGTCCGAGCCTACCTAGTTTGGGCAGTTGTGCCGTGGCCGAAGACGACGCAGTGTGCATTGATGACGATAGCGGCAGCCAGCAGGACTCAATGTTGAGCTTTGGTGACATGCCTAATTCTGCAGGGTAAGCAATGGAAGCGACCCATTTTGTCGGTTTCTCACATAGTTATCCGGGGAGTTGATTCCGTCCGACGTTGATTCGCTTGCCGTTTGCCCCCAGTTCATGTCACCGGTGCAAGACAGGAAACTGCAAAAAAACACATGTTGCAGTGGCCGCACTACGTTGAAAGACTGGTAACTAACCAAGCTTGTTATTTGTTATTGTTGTGCAGGTCCGAAAAAGGCGAAGCGCCACAGCCAGATTCAGGCACAGTGTGTGCGGTTGTGTCCGCTAAAAATACGGCAAAAAAGGCCCAATCACCAGGGCCAATACGAGCCACCGGCGCTGCAACGGAAAAGGGGGCGCTCAGGGACACGAGGTCCAAAAAAAGCACAACGTCGGACAATGGTACTAGCGACGAAAATACAACAATCGCGACTTCGAGTGGCTCGACGAGTACGAGCACAGCGGACGTCCTTTACGGCATCGGTAATACCGACAGCGCTTCTGGGACGCCAAGTACGGCGCCCTATCAGGCCCAGCACGCCCACCTACGCGGTGAGACACCGACTCTTGCACTGAATTCTGCAGCGCAACCTGCAGCGCAACCTGCACCACAGCTCGCACCACAGCCTGCATCATCACAACAACACTCCGGCCCCGCGACACAGTGTGCCACGCCGCACGCGCGTGCGAAAGGCGAAGAGAACGCCACCCAGAAAACCTACTCGAACATCCTGAACTCCGTCAGCGCCGCAAAACCGCTTGCTGGCGCTCTCGCAACCACGTCGTCCACAGCAAAGTTCTTCCAGCCGAAGGCTGTCAAGCCGAAGAAGTCGTCGCCGCCCCCGCCGCCGCTGCCACAGCAGCCCGCTATTGTCCGCACGACCTCCTCACACGGCAATCTACCGCTTCGACAGCCCGTTCCTGACCCCAACGGCGGCTCCACTAGTATCGTTAGCAACATTGCACAACTCGAAGAAACGGCCGAGCAACTATCCAGCACCGGCTCCATCGAGACAGCCATCCGCGAGGCCCACCAGGAACTGAAACGCAGCGACAGCCGACGCTCTTCGATTCTTGCGGCAAGCATCCGCCAGGCGTCTTCGCGAGGCTCTTCGGTTGCGGATCCAACAGAGGCGCCGCCCCGGCGTCGACAGTTCTCGAGGCAAAGTTCCATTATTGAGCTGAACAGTGCCGCACGCGCAGGTGCCTTGTCCCCTTACGATTACATCATGTCGCCCAGCTCTTCTGTTGCCGGCGGTACCCGGCAGCGATCGAACAGCAAGGCCAGCAGCATAGGCAGCCCCCATGGCAGTCTGATGGCCAACATCCTCGGCATCTCCGACCAGTCCATCACAGGTGGCGATGACATCTTCCCCTTCCTCTCACGTCACGGAACCGGCAAGAGCTCCATTCACAGTACTCGCTCTGGCAAGCTGTCTATGCCAGAGATTGCAGAACTAGAGCCGCCGTCCACTCTGACACAAGATGCTCTGGACGAGGCCGACCGTCTCATGGCTGCCGGCGAAGACCCCGAGGATGATGACACGATCCGCGCCAGTGCTCACCAACATATTGACGTTGAGCCACATGGTGAAGTCGACGACGGTGCGGCGACAGGAGACCCTGAACTGACACCTAACCAGGAGTCGTGGGTGCAGCTGGCGGCACTGGGCTCGTCTGTTGGTACCGACTCTTCACTGCTCTCGTCTCGCTCACCTCCTCCCATTGCTCGACCCTCCGTGACCGACTTCGCGGGCTATGCTTCGCCACCACAATATGTCCCGAATCCTGCGGCGTTCCGCGACTATACTTCTCCCGGCCATACGGACGTGCAGTTTCCAAGGGACGGTGCACCAAAGCAGGAGCATAACAGCGAAGCCGACGTTGATCAGAATGCGGCGGCTGGTCGCGACTTGATACCTGAAGAGCGGCCTGACGCAGATCATCAGAATGAACTGGAGCGTCCGGCATCAGCTGCGTCTGGTGGCACCTTTGATCAGGCGCAACTCGCCTTTGACGACTTTGACGGTGTTCACTGCGATCCGGAGTCGGCAAGCTTGAGGCGGTCCATCAGCGGCGCACCTTCGATCCTGGAACGTCCGCCTTCCGAAGAGCCGGCTCGCGAGACACCGCCGGTAAATTTCAAACACCGCCTGCCCATGCCGCCTCGCCCGACGTCGTACCTCGACCCTCAAACCGGCCAGCAAATGCTCTTCTATCCTGCTCGCGTTCCGGCCATGCTGCAGCTGCCCCAGAAGCTGTCTAGGAACCCCAAGGCGGCTGATCGCAACGCAAGGCGGTCTCAGGTCATGAGCATGATGATGACACCGGGGCACAGCCCCGAACTGAGAGAGCCGAAACAGGAGCGGGCGTCTCGTGTCTGGCTTCCTGATCCGATGGATGGCGACGCTGGTTCTCACTTTATGAGTGGCTCCGATTCTCTCAGTCCCAACCTGACTTCCGACTCCATCTCTCCCAACGCCCTATCTCCAGCCTTGAGCGGCGACCCTACAGACCAAACAAGGTCGCCCACAAGACAGTCGTTGCTGGGGGTCGACCCGACTGGTACGACCGATGCTGAGGTCAGTCCTGCGACTGGCACTCCCAGTGAAGTCGAGTCGGGCGATATGAACCACCTCCGTCGTCCGTCACGACTTATGGACGCCGACAAACGCAAGTCGCGCTTGTCGACGATGACCAAGTTGCCCGCGCAGCTTCGTGCCTCTGCCTTCTTTGACCATCCATCCACCACAGCCAACATCGAGGTAAAGAACGGCTCTGCCATGGATACCCTTGACAGCATCCTCGATGCCGCCGCTGCCGCGCCCGTCGGCGCCTTTACAGACCACCAATTTGCTGGCCATCTTGGTAAGGAGGTGTACGGTACCGAAAAGAGACGACCCAAGAAGAAGGCAGGCGCTGCTGGCGCTGCTGGCGCCAATGCTGCCAGTGCTGCCAGTGCCGCTGCCAAACGCCCGGAGATCTCGCCCATTCAGCAAAAAGACCTTCCGACATCAAAGTCCCGCAGCTCTTTCATGTCCATAATGGGCCACATTCGCAAAGTCAGTGAGCCTGTCGGCGATGGCCGGTCGGAGTTTGAGGTGCCTCGCGTCCGTAAACGCCTTTCCAAGAACTTTGACGGAGCAATGCGATCACCTGGCTTGAGCGAGGGGACGGCAGCTGTCTTGGCCCCGGATGATGACGAGCGGGTCTCAGACGACGAGGAATATGACCGCGAGCACGACGGGGACGAAAGGGAGGAGGACGACGAGGACGACGAGGACGACGAGGAAGACGAGGATGATGACGAGGACGAGGACGAATTGGTTGGTGCCGCTTACCAGGGCGCGCCGACGACTTTGCTCGCTGAGCTGCAACTCCGTAAGCAACAGCAGAAGCTGCGTACGCGCCCTATTAACCAGGCCTTCCCCAACGGAATGCACTCCACGTTGCTTGAACTGGATGCTGTGGCCGAGATCGAGCGGCGAGCACGCAAGGGGAAGAAGGTCAACCTTGCCTGGGAGGATCCTTCCATGCTGCCGATCGACAAGGAAAGCGACGACGAGGACGTCCCGCTCGGCATGCTCTTCGCGGCCAAGGCAGCCGGGCACAACGACATTTCCGCTGTCGTTGCCGAGATGAACCGTCCTCTCGGCCTCATGGAGAAGAAGGAGCTGGAAGACAACGAGCCTCTCAGCCGACGCCGTGACCGTCTTCAAGGCCGCGACACTGCCGTCAGCATGTATCTGGGACCCAACTTTGGCAGCAACGCCGTCAAACGCCAGAGCATGCTCAACCTGACGCCGACTCTCGCCGCCCTGAACCAGAACGCTGCTGCCCAGCCCGATAGCCAAGGTTCTGACGGTGACAAGAATGGCTCCGACGACGGCGTCGAAGAGGTGGAGGACGAGCCCCTGGCCGCCCGGCTGCAGCGGATCAAGGCGAAGGAAGAAAGCGAGCTGCCCCGCGCACGGCCGGTGAGCATGGCCTTCTCAGAAGAGCTTCTTAACCAGTTCGTGGACCCCGAAGAAGAAGCCAAGGAGCGCGAGCGGCTCGAGAAGGAGGAACAGGCCAAGTCGCAGCAACCTGCTGCCGAAGAAGAGGAGACGCTGGGTCAGCGCCGGCGCCGGCTGCAAGCCGAGAAGGAAGCTCAGGAGCAGGGGATGGTTGGGGGTTCGGGCGGCGGCAGCGGCGGCCTGGCTGTCAACGGACAGGCCCTGCACGCACTGACCGGTTCCGACCGCCTCTCGCGTCGCATATCCATGGCCAATGTGCTCTCAGCACACCCTGCCGACACGGCGCAGGGTGCGTACCACCCGCGCGAGGCCGAGCGCATCCGCCGCGAACAGGAAGCCGCACGTGCGGCCTTTGAGAAAGACCAGAAGATGGCCGCCATGCGCGCCCAGATGCCCCGCAACATCTCCAACACCAGTCTGGGTGGCGGCGTGACCAAGTCGGGCGGCTTCCTGGGCGGCCGCCTCAACGACGGTGCCGGCGGCAATGGCGGCATGCTCAACCGCACGACCATGCGGCAACACCATGACGGACCCGGCGTCGGCCATTGGGCCAATCCTGGCACCATGGGCGGGCCCATGGGCAACGCCAGCGCGCTCAACTTGACGTCGTTGGCTACGACGGGAAACATGGGCATGGCGAATGCCAGCTATGGTTCTGGCCTCAACACCATGGGCATGAGTGGCATGGGTGGTATGGGTGGCATGGGCATGAACAACCGCAACATGAGCTTTGGTGGCTACGGTGGCATGCCGCAGCAGGGCATGATGGCCAACAGCGGTATGGCCTATGGCGGCGTCTACGGTGCCGTCCAGCCTGCGTACAATCCCTACGGCGCGATGCAGGTGCCGATGCAGATGCAGATGCCCACTATGGGCATGCCCATGGGAATGCCGATGCAAATGCCGATGCAGTCGCCGCCGCAAGTGGACCGTGTCGAGCGCTGGCGTCAGGGCGTCTTGCCTTGATCCCAGGTTCTGTTCTCTCTGAAGTACCTTTTCATTTCGTCGTCACATTTACCAGTCCCGGTCTGGTCTTTTATTTGTCATATGCTGGAGGGTATGTGCTTTTGGTCTAGCACGTTTTTGTTGATGGGCATTTGAGAATCTTTTTTTTGTAGCATTGCGTTTGGCGTTGGCCAGTACGATCTTAGGAAGCGAAATATACAAAAGGTCACAAGGAATGGTACGTTTCACGATTGTTTTTACATAACGAGCAAAAGAGCAAAACAAGAAATGTGAATTCCTATCCGAACTCCAGTTACATTTTTATCTATGGCGCAAAATGATAATGACAACCGGATGCTGCGAACATGCGGCAAAGAGCAAATGTGGTCGCCAGACGATGAAGCGTAAAAGCGTAACAAAAGAAAACCAATGCAGCATGACAGAAGCACGACATATAGAGACAACATAGATAGGATGGCATCCAAAACAAGAAAACCTTTGTCACTACTCCACGTTCGTGACGTTTCTTCACCTCCGCTTCGAGAACGCAGCACCCGACTTCTTCTGCAGCTTGGGAGGCGGTGCAGCAGCGGCATCGTCCTCGTCCTCGTCCTCGTCCTCGTCCTCGTCCTCGTCCTCGTCGTCTTCGTCGTCAACATCGTCAAAGTCGACCTCGTCCTCCTCGGCAGCGTCGTCGTCCATCTCTTCGAGGTCATCGTCCTCCTCAGCGTCGTCGTTCTCGTCGCCGTCGCTGTCCTCATCGTCGTCGTCGTCGTCGAGTGCCTCCTCGTCCGACTCCGCAATAAACGACGCACTGGCAACGCCAGCGCCGTTGACCAGGATCTGGCCCGCGCCATCCTCCTCCTCCACGTCGTCCTCCTCGCGGTACGTGGTCACAAATTCCTCGTCGTCGTCCACGTCCCGTGCCCCGCGGCCCAGGCCGGCGCCGTTGCGTCTCCGGCCACCAGCACCGCGCGCGCGGCCCAGGCCGTTCACACCGTCCAGCGCCTTGCTACTGCCAGACCGGCCACCGACTGTGGCCACACCGCTGTGGCCGCCGCCGCCGCCGCCACCGGCTGCCGCATGGGCGCCCGCCCGCTGCACCCGCCGCAGCTGCATCTGCGCCTCCAGCATGTCCAGCTTGCCCTTGAGCAGCAACAGGCTGTTGAGGCCCCGCGCGCGCTCCTCCAGCACGCGGTGCAGCTCCTGCAGCGCACGCGTCACGCCCGCCTGGTTCGCCAGCAGCGCGCCGCCGTGTGTGATGAGGGTCCACTGCACCCAGCCGACGAGTGTGTGCGCACGGCCGGGCCGGCGGTGGATGCGGGCGGCCAGCTTCTGCAGCAGGGCGCCGGCCAGCGAGGGGTCGAGGCGCTGGATGGTGTTGCGGATCCAGACGGCGTCGGTGGTGGTGTTGAAGCAGACTTCGAGGTTGGCGTCGTCGCCGGAGCGCAGCGCGGCATTGAGGAGGTGGCCGAGCGAGGCCAGCGTGGGGGCGGCCGCGACGGCGGTGTTGGTTTTGGAGCGGCCGTTTGCGTTTGTGTCGGTGGGCTCCTCGGCCGGGTTGAGCTGGTTCAGGGCGGCGGCGACATCAACGGTCTCGTGCTCGCGGACGAGGTCGCCAAACGTGGGCTCGTGGTCCTCGTCGTCGTCGTCTTCGTTGTTCTCGTCGTCACCCTCGTTGTTCTTCAAACCTTTGTGGCCGTTGGTCTGCGGCTCGTCAGCGGCGGCGTCCACCGGCGCATCGTCGTCCATCAGCTCGTCCTCGTCCCCGTCTACGTCGGCGGCCTCGTCGTGGGATTCGTCGCTAGAGATATCAATCGACTCGCCGGCGGCCAGCTTCGCCTTTTGCTGGTGCTTCGGGACAGAGACGACCGCTGTTCTGGACTCGTTGATGCGTGTCTTGGCCATGGGTTTCGCGTTCCGCGTCGTCTGAGGTTGGGCAATGCGCACCGGCGGTGCTTTCCGCTTTGTCGACGACATTGTGAATATGGATGTGAATGTGAAGGTGAATGTGAATGCAGTAGGGCAGTTGTGACGATGATGCGAAGAAGGGAGGTGATGAAAATGCAAAAGGCAAATAGGCCATTAGGTGTAAAGCCGTGTCCTCCTATGCGTAACGCCCCGAGAAGGAAAGTGAAGCAATTGAAGGATCGAGAGTAGGGGTCGACAATGCCTCGATGTCCTGCTTCTCACTGCAGCATGGGAGAAAAAATTGTTCTCAATATTGTCCTGGTACAGTTTTTTTTCTGGGTCACTTTGCTATATTCCTGGCAGTATTCTTGTCCGCCTTTTGGGTGGGTCCGAGACAGACGCACGTGCCTAGTCACACGATTCCAGCTACCGGATGACTAATAACGGTGCCTTTATCAGATGACTTTATGCGTGACTCACATCTCTCAATTCGTACATTGTATTTCGTACTTTGTATGCTTCGAATAAAATCGGAAACTCTGGAAATTGCGCACTGAGGCAGTGCCCTATGTGCAGGCTTCAACCTCGGAAATGGACACGGGTGCTTGCATCGTCATTGGTGGTTTGCGTGGAGCCTTTACCCATACATGGCTGCCTATTGGTGTTTGAAGATTGAATTGTGGGACTTGCCTGCCGTCCTTTGTCTTTTCCGTTGCCTCAAGTTTTGATTATGGGATCCACCATTTGTCTCCATCTGGACCCATTGATTGGTGCAGACGAACAGGCCCTTTGTTTCCGGCGAAGTGCTCTGTGCTCAGTTCTCATTTTTGACAGGGCACATACATCGTACGTCGTCTGAACTGGCGAGCGGTCGCGCAATTGTGTCGCGAAATTTTCGCAAAGCTGTGAACAAATAACGGCTATGCGCACACCTTTTCATGGGCCGTTACCCGTTTGGCTTGTCTGCCTCCAAGCAGGAAGCGGCGGAAGAAAAAGGAAAACGAACAAGGCAAACCAAGCAAAGACTGCATAACGGTTCCACACTGAACGGAGCACTCCGGACGCGACACGAGTAACTGCATGTCTGCTTCGTACAAGGTTCGCGATTCAAACGGTTGGCAAAGACAATGTTCACTCGCATTGATGTTAGCAGTAACCGTTTTGACGCCGGAGTCATGCTGATTGAGATCAAGCTTTGGAAAGACAGCGACAATGGCCTTTCACCACAGCTTAGCTTTGGACGATGGTGAAAAGGTGCAACAGGAGCTACGTGATACCTGCCCGTTCCGGCGTGTGCATTCCAAAGCGCTGTGAGAAGCGTGATGCCTGTTCTCGTGGCGCAAGCAACTGGACATTGCTGTCTTAATCGATGTTCCTGACAGTCCCCAGTGTGCGCGTGCCCATCATTGTAATGGTTATCGTTTCCAGTTGTTCCAGTTGTCGTCGCTGTTGTGATTCCCTCTACGCACCAGGCCTGACTCGCACACGCTGCCTCGCCTTGGATTCATCACCAGTCGTACCTCTCACTTCTGCCTTTTCATCTTCCACGCGCCAACTTGAATTCCATTTGGCAACTCTTTTTGTTTGTTTCGTTGTTTCCTTGTTTGGAAGCACCAGGCGCTGTCGCAATTTCTGTTTCAATGTTTTCTTTCAGACGGAAGGCACAAGCTGCACGCTGTCGCGGTGTTGCGTCTCGCGTTGCGCACGGCGCCTGATTGGCTGCGCGGCCTTTTAGTGGCGAACCAGGGTACATAAGCAACAAGGCCTTGGGCAACTTTTTTCGCCTTCCCCTCGGTTTTCTTCGCTTTTCTTCCCTCTTTTATTTTTTTTAGCGTCTCTGTCCTTCGCACACAGTCTCGACGCCGATCCGCGCACGGGCCATTTCCTCACCCCACATAAACACACCCCCTCCCCTACGCCCCCTTCCTTCTCATTCTCTTCTGCCCTCTCGTCCAACCACAGGCGAATCACAGATAAGAACAGATCAGCGGCGCCCAGCGTACCTTTCGAAATAAATACCTCCCGCCTGCCGACCGGGACTGACATGTGTTTTTTCTTTTGATTTTTTTGAAAACGCGACGTATCTGCGACTCCACCAACCAATCAGAGTCCGCTCTTCCTTACAGTGACTGTCACCTAGTGCGTTCTTTCCACCCTACCACCTGTTTCGTCCTGCATCGCTCCTTCCACTCCGGTTCCTGTGCCCCGAAGCACGCCCCCAAACACCCCCAAGGCTCTCGCAATTGCGCGACCCAGCCCCAGTTATTTGGTTTTATTTACACTGTCACCTTTTTGTTTCCAATCGCCGCGCTTTTTGTATTTTCTCTCTTCGATTTTATCTTTTCGACACCCCGTTCCTCGTTTTCCCGGTCCTTAGTCATCACCAACCCGCCACAACTCATCCGCCACACCGTTTTATCTAACCCATTTGCGGCTTTGTCCAGAGCCAACCACCGCTAGCAATTCGCCCCAGCCTCTCCATTTCACCTTTACAGTGAGTTCCCGCGTTGTTCAGATTGCCGGCCTTCCCTCGTTTTGTTGCGACGACACATATACATCACTTGCACTGTGCTTTTCGTCACCTTTTTTTGTTTCTTTTTCGTTTCTTTTTTGCTATTGCCATTCTATAGCGACATTTTGCTTTTTTTCTGTGCTTTCCAACGCTCCCTGAGAACCGAGGAAGAAAACGGCGAGGCGGGGCTCACATTTGCTACCTCTGGCGTTCAATATTTATTAGACCACTAACACGCCGCGCCTTCTCCAGCCTATCGCCGCCCCGGATAGTGTGTTCATGTCGCTGCTCCCCAACTAGTCGCATCCTCTTTCCACAAAATCTTCGAATGGCTGTCATGACATCACCGCATCCGACAGACATTGCTTCCCTCGACCGCAAAGAGCCAACCAAAATGGCCTCAGTTACAGATGAACTGCCGACGAGCAACGGCGTGAATGGGTAAGTCGCATTTTGTTTTATTTTCCATTGTTCTTTTTTTCTTTTTTTGGCGCTTTCCGCACCGCACGTGTTGCGACGTCGCACCTTCCATCATAACGACGGTCACTCTGCTTCGTGCCTTCCCTTTTCTGCACAATCGCGCTGCTCCCGATCGCTC